ATATGCCTTAGTGTCCTTATTCTTGCTGTGGGTTGTACTGGGTGTGGTAGATTGGGAGTGACTTGATGGGATCCCTATAACTCACTCATGGGATTACAAAGATAAACTTCCCAGCGAGAGGAGGTCCATGAAGGGCTCTCTACTGAGTGAGGCGAGGTCGTCCCTGAGGCTTACAGGGACGACCCCCTAAGCTAGGTCCCTATTCAGACTTGCAGCCCCAGGCCTGGACCTGAAAGCCAACCAAGTGGTTGCCTAGGGAGAGTCCGAGGTGGGCATCTGCCCGTGCTGTGTGGCTCCCTCGTTGGCTGCACTCCTCTCCCTCCCCCATGCTCCCTCCCCTGGGAACACCCCGCCACATCCACTGCACACAAAAGCCCATTCTGGCCTCTTTCTTTGAGATCAGCGTCACCCTGGAGACTGGCGCCTTCCGGCCCAAGCCACCCTCTCCTCGGCCCCAGCCCAGCCCCCAGGCTCCCAGGCTGCCTGGCAACCCTGCCCACTGCCCCCATGCTCCCCACTGCCATCCTCTCCTGGAGCCAGAGTTGGAGGTGCCCCACACTGGCTCTGCTTCACCCACGGGCCCGGCCCTGGCAGCCATCTCAGCAGCTGCTGCCCTGCTCTGCCTGTGGCCCTGGGCTGTTTCTCCCCTCACTTTCCAAGGCCCATTGAGCCAGCTCCGGCTCCTGCCCACGCAGCTGCCAGCACGTGCTCAAAACCCAGCATGACTGGCTGTGGAGATAGCTCAGCGGTCTAAGCACCTGCCTAGGCAAGCCCAAAGACCCAGGTTCAGTCTGTGGCACCACATTCCATGCCAGCCCTTCCCCTGACCCCAGGCCCACTGAACCAGCCACCAAACTGGGCAAGGTGATACACACATGCCTATAATCCCAATGCTGGGGAGGCTGAGACAGGAGGATCACTACAAGTCTGAGCTGCGTACTGAAACCCCATACCAAATACATGCAAGAAAGAAAGAAAGAAAAAAGCATGGCTACCTTCTCAAGTCACAAGCTGTGCAAGAGCCAAGGTTCGAGGCCCAGGTGAGCCTGTCACTCCTTCCTCGTGCGTCCTGCCCCTCACCAATGGTGCCGGGCATTCCAGGGCAGCAGCAGAGACAGCAAGGTGCAGGTGATGACCTAGTGCAGGTGAGCAAGCAGTGGCTGCTCCCCACTTCTCCCATTGGATCTTTAAGCCTCACCCCCATAGTGGGGGGCAAGAAGCTCCCCAACACCTCAGGCTCTGCAAATCTGCTATTGTTGACTCCTGTTTGCTGAGCTCAGTTCTGGGTTCACAGCAGCCCGGAGACGAGAAGAAGCAATAATCACTTATTTATGGGGAAGCAAATGGAAACATCACAGCGGGCAGTAACTTGCCTCGAGCCACACAGCTGGTGCCAGTCACATCCCAGGGCCGAGCCACACAGCTGGTGCCAGTCACATCCCAGGGCCCAGGGCCTGCGGCACTTGGTGTGGCTTGCTTGTGTCCACACTGGAGGGACCCTGCCCAGGGACATCACATGCAGGTTCAAAGGCCAGGTCTCACGCTCCTGTTGGCCTTATCTGTCCTCAGCTGTTGTACTTTCTCCTTAAGGAAGGTCAGCTGTGTCCTTGAACAGAGTACAGGGGTGCCAGCTTGGCACCCAGGCCCTCTGTGGTCTCCAGCCCAGGAGCTTGGGCATGGTATGTGGTGAGCAAGGAACTGGGGTGGTTCCTGCCAGTCGAGCTGGCCTAGGACCTGAAGGGAGAGTGGCAGAGGGGCCTCGGAGCCAAGGGGAAGCAGGACTGGGGTGGGAGTCCAGCAGCCTCCACCCCTCCACCTCTGTCTCTCTTGGGAGACACGTGGCCGTGGCTCAGTCCCAGGAGGCTCTCCATCACCCTTGTCTGCCCCTCCTCCACAGCACTGACCGCAGGACTGGGACTGCTCCAACAAGGACCAGATCAGGGTGGTGGAGATAATGGGGGCTTCTGGGAACACAACCCACACTCTGCTCCAAGCCTAGGAAGAGTTCCAGCAACAAAACTGAAAAGGAGGTCGGTTGTTCCCAAAAAAGCACTCTGCGGCTCTCTCTTCCTTTCCTCTCCCTTCCTTTCTTCCTTTTCATTCCATTTTCTTTTCTTTTCCCTTGTGATAAACAATCCGCCGCTGGCCAGAGGCTCTGTGGGTGCCATTCTTTACCCTCTGAGGAACATGCTTCATGAGTCGTGACCTCAGAGAGCGCACAGAGGCTTGTTTGAGATTTTCTCAGGCTTGGGGGAGGTGGGATAGGTTTGCTCATTCATGCATTAAGCTGGTCATATTGTTGTTACGCCTTCCATTTCTAGGAGCTCAGAGCCCAGCTCCACCCTCCCTGCAGCCAGCCCTACCCTAGGGGCCAGAGCCCAGCCTCTAGCAGGCCTGGCCTCCCAGCCCTCAGGGCAACATCTACCCTTCCCTCAGTAGAACAGGTAGGCCACCCAGGCCTCTTGCCTAAAGCTCCCAAGCCTGGAATTCTCCCTTGAGTCAGGGAACCAGGCATAGTTCCTGTTTTCTAAATGTGATCTCTTGCCCAGGAAAGGGGCTGAAGTAGGCCCTCCAACAGGAGGTGTTTGACTGGCTGCCTACAGGATGAGCGAAGGCCCTCAGCATCAGGCCCCCAGCTGCTGTGTGCCTGGGGGTGCCCACGAGGCTCTGTCCAGAACAGGCCCAGCTGCAGCACTGTAAGTTACAGTGACCCGGACAGGCTGAGTGTGCGCCGGAGTGTATATTTACACACAGGTGTGTGTTGTGTGCTGGAGGAAGAGAGCCTTCTCAGTCTGGGGAAAGGTCTGTGTGTGTGTGTGTGGGGGGGTCTTGTGAACTTGGAGGCCTGGAGCAGTCACAGGTGGTGTCCTCGGGACACACCACCACCGCATGGGCAGGGAGACCTGCACAGAGGCCTCGGGAACCCGCTGGGGGCTCCAGCCTCTGCCTCCCGCACACGGGCTGAGGAGCTTGCACAGATTCTGCTTCCACTAGGAGCAAGCTAGAAGCGTCTTCCTGACATCACCCCTTCCCTGTGCCTGCGGCGGCCCCGCTTTGCCTACACAGTTTCCTCAGGGCCTCTGAGTTTTGAGGCCTTGTCAGATAACACATCTGGGGTCAATGAAAGACCTGAATCCTAAATCCAGGGGGTGACCATGCCTCTGCCGTTGGCATGCACTGGCTCTGAGGGCTTGGGACAGGGACTCTCTGCCTTCCACCTGCTGCCCCGGCTGGCAGACAGGTGCTCTGGGGCCTCAGGGTGAGTGTGCTCATCACACAGGCCATCCTGTGCCCAGGAGCCTCAGTCACCGGGCAGAAGCTGTCACTACTGAGCAGGCGCCTGGGCCTCCTGGGGTGATAACAGGGTAATGCCTACTTCCAGGAATGAGTCTGTAAGTACTGCTTCCCTCTCACTTCACTGAAGAGTTAGAGGGGTAGTGGCCTTAGGTCTTCCCTAAATTTCTTGGATATTTCAACAGTGAATCTTTCAGGGCTTTGGCTTTTCTTTGCCAGTAGGTTCTTAATTACATTGTCAATTCCACTGACTCACTTCAGAGTTCTCTTATGTAATCAGCAAACAGAAAACGATTTGCTAATTTACTTGCGAGCGCCCTTGCAGGGCAGGCCACCTGGACTGTTCCTGTGCCTGACACTCCTATGCGTACGTCAGGTGCACTGGGGCATCCTGTGAGTCAGTGAACAGCTTGAGTTGGTCTGAAATAACTATCAATGAGTAGGAACCACAGCCTGCCTCAAGTCCCTGCAGCCCAGCTAGGCCTCCCAGTAGCAGCCACAGGTGTCCTGACAGAGGGGTACAGAACCTGCTGAAGAAGCCACCTGCCTGTCCATCTTCCCTTTGTCCATGTCCTCCTTGTCACAAGCTGTGTGCTGGCCACACTCAAAGCCCTCAAAGCCTTGCGAGTGGTGAATCATCACCCCACAGTGCCCATGAAAATGAGGTCCACTGCTGAGGTCAGGGCTGTGGGACCTGCAGAATTGTGACATTACATCACGGTTGTGAGTACATTGAAAGCTGATGCTGTCATCAGCCCACTTCACAGATGAGAATACACAGGGCTCAGAGGTGTGGCAGGGTCAAGCTCTGGGCTCTGGGGCCTTGCACTTTCCCCTGCCTGTAGCCTTGTGGTCCTGATCCAGAGAACCCTTGGTCCTGTACACATACAGGTGTGGGGCAGGAGCACAAGCACACAGGACCTGGCTTCAGCATGGGAGCCAGGAGCTGGAGGGACACCCTGCAGCCTTTCTTCTGTAGCCCCAGGGCTCAAGCTGAGTGGTATCAACCTGGCCCCCTAGGAATGCAGGAAGACATCAGCTTGTGCACCATACCCTATGAGGATAGCTCGAGTATGGAGCACAGGCCAGCCTGGCCTCAGGTCTGCCTAATCTGACATTAGGTCTGTGACGCTTGGCAGAGGCAGGGATGCCTGACTCTCAGCAGGCTGACAACGTCCTTTACCTATCCCGGGGTTGTCCCCTCTGGCCTCAGCTCTCTGGTTCTTACTCTGCTTCAAGCCCCAGGCCTTAAAAAGAAAAAAAAAAGTTCAGTCACAGGAAATCTGTTTCGCAGTCACCCTCACCAAGTGAGAGAGGCGGCACGCAGCCAGCCTCCTGGGCCCGCTTCCTCGCTGGTGAGTACCAAGTTGAGCAGAAAGTCGTCTGACAGTTGTGGAAGCCCCCAAACAAAGCTTGGCCAGAAGGCAAGGCCCCTTGAGTCGGGTCTGGAGTCTGAGGTGGAGCGCCGTGCGCGGCACCCTGAGGGCCTCTGCAAGACCCTGGGCTCAGCCTAGCGGCGGAAGCCCAGGTGTGCACCCAGCGTCCCGCGTCCCTCCTCCCTCGGAGGAAGGGCAGGACCCGCTAGGCCAGGACACCGGGTGCCAGGGGCGGAGCGTCGCGGGGCGGGGCGTCGAGACGGGACGGGACGGGACGGGCGCGACGGGAGGCGGGCCTGCGGGGCTCTCGGCCGGCAGCGCAGGCTACGCTGGGCTCGGTCTCGGCGAGGGAGGTCGGCAGCGCTGGCGGCAGCATGCTCGGCGTCGTGCACTTCCTGCGCGGCTTCTTCAAGGTAGGCCGTCGGGACCGTGAGGACACAGGGCACCGCAGCCCCGTCTGCGCGCGGGACCGCGGGTTCGGGGAAAGGGCTCGTCTGGCCTGGCGTACCCGGGAGGTGCCCGCTGCTGTCACCCGGCCTAAGGACCTGAGAGAGCGAGCGGGGCTGGTCTGGTGCTGGAGTGGGGCTTTGAACGTCTTCGTGGGGTGCCCCTGCCCAGAGGGAGAGGCGCTCAGCTGGGATCGCAAAGTGGGTGGTGGACCGCGAGGCGCTGCCGAGGGCGGCTCCTCAGGGAGCAGGGTGGGGATGCGCTCCGGTTGTGAAGAGGCCTCCGCGGGACGCCAGGGAGCAAGCCCTGTGTGGGCGATCCGCCAAGACAGGGCTTGCTCCCTTGGCTTACTCTCTCGGAGGGTGAGCCAGCGCTGTCTGGCCCTGAGAGCTGTGGACGCAGCAGCGGGAGCCAGGTGAGCTCCCGCCAGACCTTCGGGGGCCGGCCTCTGCCACTCCCACCACAGCCTGCAAGGCAGCCTGGGAGTCCGTGCTCAGCCCTGGTAACTGGTGTGCATGATCAGCAGGGCAGGTGGCCTTTCGGGAATTTAGGCTAGGGAGGGCTGAGCAGGAGGTTGGGGTCTGATCTGTGGCTGAAAACTGCAAGACACCCTCAGAAGTGCAATCCCCTCATGAGGAATTATGCAATCTTGCTACAGCTTCACCACTTGGATTTTTGTTTTCTCCTTTGAAAAATTCAGATGATCATTCCACACCCTTCAGATGAGACTCTTATTGCACAAGTGGATGTTTGTAGAGGGTGAGCCCAGGACCTTGCTTTTTCTTCCTTCACAGTGGTGGAGGCAGCAGGTCTCCAGGTGAGAAGGCAGCTGGGCAGCACCTGAATCGCCCCTGCTGGCCTCAGAAGCTCACGGGACAGGCAGACTGGCCTGGCATCCCTGCATATGCACCTTGCCAACCACTGACAAGGAGCTTTCTTTGGGGCAGCATTCCCCTGGGCAGGCTGTTATGTTCCCCTTCTCCGGGTGTCCTGTCCCCAGATACCTGGGCCTCTGCTTAAGTCCTGCTGGATCCTGACCACCTGGAACTACTGCAGGCACAGCAGGGGTGAGCCAGTGCATCTCTCTGAAGGGCTTAGTGCGGCAGCTGTTCTCTTGTGGCGGCGCAGGCGTGTCCTGCAAAGCCACCTGCAAGCACAGGTCATGTCCTGCTTGTGCCTTTTCAGACCCTGGTTGTACGGGAGGTGAAGGGAGACTCCTGCAGTCTGGTCCCATAGCCACCTCCTGATGACGGCTACCTGCCTGGCTCAGACAATGCCCCTTTTCCCCAGGGACCTCAGGGTGTTGGGGTTTCCCTAGTCAGACTGTGTTTATCAAAGCCCTGGAGGTACAATGCCTTACCCAGCCTGGCCTTGGGGGTGAGTTCTGCTGGAACTTGCTGTAGGTTGTGCACAGCAACCACATAAATTGTGGGCACAGGGCCACTGTGGGGTTTGAGGGCATAACAGCCATGTGACAGAACCCCTCCCGGGTAGACAGACCAGACAGAGAGTTATAACACACACACACACACACACACACACACACACACACACACACACACACGAGAATAGGATTCCTCCATTTTGCAGCAGCAGTTTTTCCTTTTGGGTGTGCTGCTCTGGCTTACATGTTGGATGACCCCAAGTTGGTGCACTCTGGTCCCCATGGGGCTAGCACAAGATGCTCAGACAGCTGGGCATGTCTGTTGCCTTCCTGGAGCCTTCACTGACATAGATGTTCCCTCTGTTTTCATGGAATTTATGTCCCACGTCTGTAATCCAGTAGAGCAATATGAGGTCCTTCGAGATGGAAAGGTCGTGGTCTCTGCTGGCTCAATGAGGCAGTCCTCACCAAGCCGATGCTCTGTACTGATGCTAAGGAGTATAGAGGTTTGCTGGAGTGAGGAGCTTAGCTGGGGTTGTGACTGGCCTTCATGTCCCTGTAGAGCCTCATGCGCTCACAGGGGGAGCTTTGTGGAGATGGCTGGGTCTAGGGTATGTGGGTGTGGATTAAGCTGTGTGATAACTACAGCAGTCCACTAATTGGTTAAGCATAGTTCTGGGTGTGGATAATGAGAAGGCCCCCCCTGACTGTGGGTGACACCACCCCATGGGCTAGAAGCTGGGATGGGATGAAAGAAGGCTCTGTGTGGCCACTAGGCTGCCTGCTGCTTGCTGCCTGCTTTCCGCTGCCCTCTGCTTGCCACACCATGAACTGTTTCTCCTCCGTGATTCCCCCCTCTCCCTGCTGTGCACCCTTAGAGCCAGCCAACTATGGACTGAAACCACTACAACTCCTTTATCTTTGGGTTTCAGGTATTTGTCCCAGCAACAAGAAAAGCACCTAAGACACATAGGTAATGAAATAATCCCCACAGCTGAATTCAAGACAGTTCACAGACTGTCTTCAAGCCCTGGGCCTTTCATACAGGCCCAACTGTCAAGTTAAATAGGGATGCACCAGAGACCTCTCTTGTAGGTTGATGACATTTTCTTGGTTACCAGGAGAAAGTATTCTGCTCAGTCATCATTTTGGAGCAAGGAGGGCTCATTATGGAGACTTCCAGATGGCTTTTCCTATGACAGTAGTCTCCACATCATGTCAAGGAAGTAGGGCATTTCTGCCATTGCTGGGCATGTCCTTGTCAGCATTCCACTTGGGGGCTGGGGAGCTCCTGTGGGACAGCTTCAGGATGGGCCACTGTGAGGTGGGCGCAGGCCACAACTCTAACTGTGACCTGAAGTTCTCCTCTTCCAGGAAGCCTTCCTCATTCCAAGGATGAATTTTAATGTTACCCAAAGCCACCAGGAATTAGTGTTTGCTCAGGATCAGTTCTGAAAGGTCTCAGTTCTCCGTATCACCCCTTTAAAGATTCCCCGCAATGTTGCAGTAACTGCTATTACTACGCTTCTAGGTCTTTCACAAAGTACCTGATATAGTCAGCTGATGAAGAGAGATTTATTTGGCTCCTGGGTTTAGAGGCTTCAGCTTGTGGTGAGTTAGCCCCTTTGCGTTTGGGCTTGTGACAAGGCAGCACATTGTGATGGAGTGTGTGGTGGCTGACAGAGGATGGGGCTGGGCCCTCAGGCTGCTTCCAGGACACATTCCTCTGGGACCTGGGCCTCCTGCCACTTCGCACAGCAGTGGGCTGGGGTGACCTGGCTCACACAGGTCTCTAGGGGCCTTCTGGACCTGAGCTCAGCACCGGCTCTCCAGTATTCCAGGAGCTCTGGCTGGACAGAGTCACCGTAAGGAAAGGGAATGGGTTCAACAGCTACTCACTGACCACCTACGATGTAGCTGGCACTTTCTAGGCCACCCATGGAGACTGTGTGTGGCTCCTAGCTTTAAGTGCTTCTCACTCTTTGTAACCAAGACAACACGTGTCACATCTGACTCCACTGGTACTGCCTGTCGGTTCCAGCGCAGAGGCCCTACGGCACCTCACCAGGGCCCCAGATGCCTGGCTCCAGTACAGTTTTGGTCTCTGGTGCTTGCCAGCTGCTCTCCTCTCATCCTGCCGGCTCTGCATTCCTACCTCCAACATTCCCACCTTGGCTGGGTCTCCAGCAGCAGCATCTACGGCCATTTTCAAAGCTGTTGGCATTCATGTCGCTGAAGTATTGCCCAGTGCCCTGGGCTTGTTTTGTCTTTTTGGTTCCTCTGTGGATATATATATATATATATATATATATATATATATATGGTATAATTGAAAGGGAAAAACTATATAAGAGAAATTGTTCTTTTTAAAATTTTGTTCTTTTGAAACTGCTGAGCTCTGTAACTGTATCAGGCTTTGCAGTTACTTTCTTGACCTCTATAACCACCAGAGTGTAGCCAATCATACAGGACGCCTGAGTGTATGAGGCTTCATGAACCTACCCTTGTAACTGATGACCTCACCACGCTTGCTAATCAGAACTGCCGGGAACTCTGTCTTGCCTTTGTACCTCTTTTGTACTTCCTGCTCGCGCATCATATAAAAGCCCTTGGCCACCAGAGTCAGGGCCTGGTCTTCTGGGAATGATCCCAGTCAGTGCCCGTCAGCTTCCACAAACCTGCCTCCAAATCCCAGGTGTCCTTTCCATGCCTCTGCTTGGCTTTGCGCGATGAGCAGTTTCCTTGTCATCAGCCCACGCCAACTCCGGGTCACTTTAGATATTGGAGTTCCTTCACAGAGCTTTGGCTTTCTGGTTTCATTTCACTGGGCCACCCTCATGCCACCTCTGCTGGGTGCATTCTGGCAGTCAGAGGTGGCACCCTGGCTGTGGAGTGCGTGGCTGCACCTGTGTCAACGTGCTCACCTTGCCTGGAGTTGTGCGTGCCTTCATTGTTCAGGCTCTCTCAGAGCTGTGCCCATCTGTCCGCCTGAGTTTACCAATACACGTTGGCAGAGTTGTAGTTTTCTAGGGGGCCTGCCCCTAGCTCAGTTCTTTAAGTGGCTGCTTCAGCAAATCTTTCAGCCTCAGGTTGCTGTAGTTCGATTCCCACAACACTCTATCCAGCCAAACCACCCCTCAGGGCATTTGGAGCAAAAAAAAAAAAAAAAAAAAAGTTTTCTGAAGTGTGTGTGAGCCGCTTCCTCCATAGTTTCCATTTGCCCCCCAGCCATGCTGAGGTGCTGAGGTCAGGCTGGGGCAAGAGGAGCCGGCCGAATGGCTTCACTGCAGCGCACCTCAAGAGAGGGGTAACAGGCTTCTGAGGCAGCAGCAGCAGCAGCGGCAGCGAGCTCTGTGTAGATCCTTCTCCTAAGGCAGGGCTTTCCGCTCTTCCAAGCTGCACCACTCAGGGAGAGGGCCACAGCCTGCCAGCTGACTTTGGACTCACAAGGCCGCAGACTACTGAACTCTCACTGCCTTTGGTTTGGACATGTCTCAGTCCTGGAGCTGCAGGCAAGAAGAGATATTTATGTGAGTCACAGAGAGGCAAGGGAGTGACCCTCAGGGGCAGAGGCTGCTATTG